AGAACCTTATTGTACTTTACTCTGAGTCCCTGTTGGGAACATCCCAGTGTAACATCCACAGCCAGTACAAGGTCCTTTAGCACCCAAGGCCAAAAGGAGCCATTTGCTTCTCAGAAGAACGGGCATGAGCTGCTACATGTAATCAGCACTAAAATTAGAATTTTCCACTTCAGCCAATTAGAGCAAGCCTTGTATACATTGATATAAATACAAGGCTTCTCCTGAATGGCAGAGAAGCACTCAGCCTGACTCTCTTTAATTCCATTTGCAGACGGGAAGTAGCTAATGCACACTGCACACACAATGACTGCCTCACCTGGTAATGAAAATAGTTAGTTTGGGCCAGTTTGACCAAAACTTATTTTACAAAAAGATCAATCTGGAATTCCACATTTCTGCCTCTTTTGGAGACTTTTTTTTTTTTTTGGGGGGGGGGGGGGGGGGGGCGCGAGGCGAGCGATACCTGGTTTTGAAAAGTTGCAGGTTTCCATCCCCCTCCCTCACCCCCTAACCTTCCCCTCCGCTCTACCCGCAGCCTCCTGGGAAATGTCACAAGGCTAGGGGATCATTCACAAGGCGCAGCCAGCTACCCACAGTTAGCATTAAGCCTGCCCATTGAAATGAATGGGCTGTCAATACACCCCAGTGTGTCCAAATATTAGACATAACCCTTTTTTGTTTTTTTTTAACACAATACAAAGAGCTATTTGTAGTGCGCTTCCTTACTGCATTGGGGTGCCATTTAAAATGAATGATCCGCTCACTGTCCTGAAATGAGGAATAATTTGCTTATTTCTGGGATATATGAGAGATTGAGACCTAACACCTTCCTCTCTAAATGCTTTACTATGTGCTCTCTCTATTTATATATGTATATAACACTATATTGCCAAAAGTATTGGGACACCCCCCAAATCATTGGATTCAGGTGTTCCTATCAATTCCATGACCACAGGTGTATAAAATCAAGCACCTAGGCATGCAGACTGCTTCCACAAACAATTGTAAAAGTTTGTAAAACTGTAAATTTGTTCCAGTGAAGGGAGCTCCTAAGGTGTCAGCATACCAAGACATTTTGGACAGTTTCATGCTCCCAACTTTGTGGGAATAGTTTGGGGATGGCCCCTTTCAACATGACTGTGCACCAGTGCACAACGCAAGGTCTATAAAGACATGGATGAGTGAGTTTCAGAGTCCTGATCTCAACCCGATAGAACACCTTTGGGATGAATTAGAGCGGAGACTGCAAGCCAGGCCTTCTCGTCCGACATCAGTGCCTGACCTCACAAATGCGCTTCTGGAAGAATGGTCAAACATCCCCATAGACACACTCCTAAACCTTGTGGACATCCTCTCCTTGTGGAGAGAGAGTGAGATCTGGCACTTTACACTGCTCTTTGCATATTCTCCATCAGCTAATTAAGTTACCAACATGTCTTTACCAAGAGGAAATAACGACACAATCACAGGGAGAACATACAAACTTCATGCACGTAGTACTGTGGTTGGGATTCAAACTGGGGACCCAGTGCTGCAAGTCAGAATTGGTATTCACTATGCCACCATGTAGTACTTATAGCAAATAGTAGGCACATGCAGGACTTCAACAGGGAGGCTTATACACACACTGAGTTTTGGGCCTCATTCACTACAGTGTACACCCATGAGAAGGCTGTGTCGGTCCGCATGGCGATACACAATGTCCACTGGGGTGCAAAGGCTACTCTGAATTTAACAGCTGCGCGTGGCAGTACAGCCCAAAACACACACAATATGCCTGGGCGAACAAGGCCTTGAAGTATAACTATAGACCAAATGTTTTTCTTTCAGAGTTATAAACCCTGTCAGTTTTTTTTTTGCCATCTTTGTCTCATTTGGGAGATTCCTCTTCATTACCTGTTCCTTAGCCGCAACAGGAAGTAAGAGAAAATCCCTCCAAAGTTTGGGAAATCCCTGGTAGTCAGCAGAACTAGTGGTCCCATTGGAAGATTTCCCCATATCACTGTTCTGGGAACAACCCAACATTTAGGACAGCAATAAACACCCTCTCCACTCTATCTATAACAGGGTGGATTTGATTTAAATCAAACTGATTTAAATCACAATTTAAATCACTAGTCAGTAAGGCTTGATTTAAATCCTAGTTTTCTACATAAAGACTAATTCTTGCTGGTATAACTTTAATATGCAAGTAGATGAAGATTTTTAGAATAACAACTTTTCATATTAGTTTTTTTATCCCCAGTTTAATAGGTTAATCATTCATATTTGGACAACTTTTCTGTTGTACTTAGGAAGGAGAAAAATAATCATTACCTTAATAATAACAATTTAAATAGATTTATTCAACTGAAACAATAACATTCTAGCATATGTTATTTGCTTAAACATCCATGTTTAACTAATTTGGCTAAACAAAATATATATATTTTAAGAAACTTAGACTGTCAGCCCCTTCCTCCTCACACTTAGTTTCACTTTCTTCTTGTGCAGATCTATTCCACTCCAAACAATCAGAAAAATATTGTTTCTATTCACTGAACTTCTTGAAATTTAGCACTGAAGGGGTTGATTCTGTATTCATAGGTTTGTAGAAGTTAGGATTAAGGTCTTTTTCTTACCTCTGTTCATGTTATAACATTTTTGCTGTGAAGAAGAGGCATGTGATCTCCGCTGAGTCAAATTCAGTTTTGAGAACTGCAAAAGTAAACCAAACATCTGTGATAATATCTTGTAGGCAGAGAAACTGCCCAATAATCTTACAGAAACCTCTGGAAGAGCATGACATTGTGAATGGATTCATGGAATTTATTTACCAAAAAAATTAAACATATACAGCCTTATTCTACATAATTAAAAACCTAATCTTTATTTCATGATGGAATAACCTTTGGATGGTAATATATTTTCCTCAAAACGCATTTTATTTAAAAAAATCCGATTTAAATAAAAAAAAATCTGATTTAAATCAAAAAAATCAATTTTTTAAAAAAAAAAATCATTGATTTTTATCCACCCTGATCTATAACTAGGGGTGTTCTAATCCCTCTCCACTCTATCTAAAACTGAAAAGAAAACTTTTGCCTTTAGTTATACTTTAAACCCTTTCCCACCGGGCAGGACTTTTGTATATCTGGGTGGACGTCACATGACATACCTCTGAATCGCCGCCTTGCGTGAGTCCATGGGGCAGTGCTTTGATGACTAATCTGTGTACCGGCCAGTTGCTGGTACCATATGCCCAATCGCAGCAGGTCACATGACAACTGTAAACAATGGATGGCTTCATTTCATACCATCCATTGTATACAATTGTTATGCTAGCTGTGATTGGTTCCAGTAATCACATGGTACAAACTGGGCCAATCACAGCTCATCTGTGTCATATGATTAGCTGTGGCCAATCACAACAAAACAAACTGAATGAATCAATTTTAAACCAGTAAAATGCTTGCTTATAGCAATGAAATTCATTGCTATATGCAATCATAATGTGTGAAAAAAAAAAAATATTGGTCACTTCCCCGGAGTAGTACAATGTTACTATGGTAACATTATATTACTCCGGTCACAGAGTGTTTAAAAAAAAAATTCATAAAAAAATGAAAAAAGTAATACAAAATAAAAAAATTCAAAAAAATATTTTTTTTTTTTTCATACTGTCACTACTAGTCAGTGTCTCTGATCCCCGCCAGACCAGTTATATGATGACACTGTTCTGCACTGGTGACAATTGTGAAAAAAATAAGTAAAATGCTTGCTTATAGCAATTAAATTCATTCATTGACCGCACAATTGTCATTCAAAGTGTGACAGTGCTGAAAACTGAGAATTGGTCTGGGCAGGAAGGGGGTAAAAGTGTCTGGTATTGGAGTGGTTAAGCCAAACTGTAATTTTACATTACTGTCCTTTGGTATTTGTATTCGTGTATTAAATAATATTGCTCAGCACAACAGTTGATACATTTTTCAAGCTAATTAACACGCTTCTTGTAAACTTTTGAACTCCAAGTTTGGCTGGAGATGCAGCTGCTGCAGCGGCCAGATGTCAGAGAAGATATGATGCTGGTAGACATGTGCCTCTGCTCCTTTATGGATTATAGAACAGTCAGTAGTGGAGAACTGCAACAAGGTACAATCTGTCTATAATTTCCCTCTCTTTCTTCTCACTTTCCCTTCTTCTGTCTCCTCCATTCCTCACTTCCATCTTTCTCCCCCTACCCTTCTCTATCTTCCATCTTCTTCTCACTCTATTTGTGTGTGTGTGGTGTGTATATATATATATATATATATATATATATATATATATACACACACACGCACACACTATATTACCAAAAGTATTGAGACACCTGCCTTTACATGAACATTAATAGCATCTTGGTCTTGTTCTGTAGGGTTCAATATTGAGTTGGCCCCGCCCTTTGCAGCTATAACAGCTTCAACTCTTCTGGGAAGGCTGCCCACAAGGTTTAGGAGTGTGTCTATGGGAATGTTTGACCATTCTTCCAGAAGCGCATTTGTGAGGTCAGGCACTGATGTCGGACGAGAAGGCCTGGCTCACAGTCTCCGCCCTAATTCATCCCAAAGGTCTTCTGTCGGGTTGAGGTCAGGACTCTGTGCGGGCCAGTCAAGTTCCTCCACCCCAAACTCACTCATCCATGTCTTTATGGACCTTGCTTTGTGTACTGGTGCGCAGTCATGTTGGGACAGGAAGGGACCATCCCCAAACTGTTCCCACAAAGTTGGGAGCATGAAATTGTCCAAAATATCTTGTTATGCTGACGCCTTAAGAGTTCCCTTCACTGGAACTAAGGGGCCAAGCCCAACCCCTGAAAAACAACCCCACACCATAATCCCCCCTCCACCAAACTTTACACTTGGCACAATGCAGTCAGGCAAGTACCGTTCTCTTGGCAACTGCCAAACCCAACCACGTCCATCGGATTGCCAGACACAGAAAGCGTGATTGGTCACTCCAGAGAACATGTCTCCACTGCTCTAGAGTCCAGTGGTGGCGTGCTTTACACCACTGTATCCGATGCTTTGCATTGCACTTGGCGATGTAAGGCTTGAATGCAACTGCTCGGTCATGGAAACCCATTCCATTAAACTCTCTATGCACTTTTGTTGTGCTAATCTGAAGGACACACAAAGTTTGGAGGTCTTTAGCTATTGACTCTGCTGACAGTTAGTGACTTCTGCGCACTGTGCGCATGCACTGACCCCGCTCTGTCATTTTATTTGGCCTACCACTTTGTGGCTGAGTTGCTGTTGTTCCCAGTTGCTTCCACTTTGTTATAATACCACTAACAGTTGACCGTGGAATATTTAGTAGCAAGGAAATGTCACAGATGGACTTCTTGCACAGGTGGCAACCTATCATGGTACCACACTTGAATTCATGGAGCTCCTGAGAGTGACCCATTCTTTCACAAATGTGTGTAGAAGCAGTCTGCATGCCTAGTTGCATGCTTTTTATACATGTGTGCTCATGGAGGTGATTGGAACATCTGAATCCAATGATTTGGAGGGCTGGCCCAATACTTTTGGCAATATAGTGTGTGTGTATGTATATACAGTCAGGTCCATAAATATTGGGACATCGACACAATTCTAACATTTTTGGCTCTATACACCACCACAATGGATTTGAAATGAAACGAACAAGATGTGCTTTAACTGAGGACTGTCAGCTTTAATTTGAGGGTATATACATCCAAATCAGGTGAACGGTGTAGGAATTACAACAGTTTGCATATGTGTCTCCCGCTTGTTAAGGGACCAAAAGTAATGGGACAGAATAATAATCATAAATCAAACTTTCACTTTTTAATACTTGGTTGCAAATCCTTTGCAGTCAATTACAGCCTGAAGTCTGGAACGCATAGACATCACCAGACGCTGGGTTTCATCCCTGGTGATGCTCTGCCAGGCCTCTACTGCAACTGTCTTCAGTTCCTGCTTGTTCTTGTGGCATTTTCCCTTCAGTTTTGTCTTCAGCAAGTGAAATGCATGCTCAATCGGATTCAGGTCAGGTGATTGACTTGGCCATTGCATAACATTCCACTTCTTTCCCTGAAATAAACTCTTTGGTTGCTTTTGCAGTCTGCTTTGGGTCATTGTCCATCTGCACTGTGAAGCGGCGTCCAATGAGTTCTGAAGCATTTGGCTGAATATGAGCAGATAATATTGCCCGAAACACTTCAGAATTCATCCTGCTGCTGCTTTTGTCAGCAGTCACATCATCATTAAATACAAGAGAAGCAGTTCCATTGGCAGCCATACATGCCCACGCCATGACACTACCACCACCATGCTTCACTGATGAGGTGGTATGCCTAGGATCATGAGCAGTTCCTTTCCTTCTCCATACTCTTCTCTTCCCATCACTCTGGTACAAGTTGATCTCGGTCTCATCTGTCCATAGGATGTTGTTCCAGAACTGTGAAGGCTTTTTTAGATGTCGTTTGGCAAACTCTAATCTGGCCTTCCTGTTTTTGAGGCTCACCAATGGTTTACATCTTGTGGTGAACCCTCTGTATTCACTCTGGTGAAGTCTTCTCTTGATTGTTGACTTTGACACACATACACCTACCTCCTGGAGAGTGTTCTTGATCTGGCCAACTGTTGTGAAGGGTGTTTTCTTCACCAGGGAAAGAATTCTTCGGTCATCCACCACAGTTCTTTTCCGTGGTCTTCCGGGTCTCAGGGTGTTGCTGAGCTCACCGGTGCGTTCCTTCTTTTTAAGAATGTTCCAAACAGGCGTTTTGGCCATGCCTAATGTTTTTGCTATCTCTCTGATGGGTTTGTTTTGTTTTTTCAGCCTAATGATGGCTTGCTTCACTGATAGTGACAGCTCTTTGGATCTTGTCTTGAGAGTTGACTGCAACAGACTCCAAATGCAAATAGCACACTTGAAATGAACTCTGGACCTTTTATCTGCTCATTGTAATTGGGATAATGAGGGAATAACACACACACCTGGCCATGGAACAGCTGAGAAGCCAATTGTCCCATTACTTTTGGTCCCTTAACAAGTGGGAGGCACATATGCAAACTGTTGTAATTCCTACACCGTTCACCTGATTTGGATGCAAATACCCTCAAATTAAATCTGACAGTCTGCAGTTAAAGCACATCTTGTTTGTTTCATTTCATATCCATTGCGGTGGTGTATAGAGCCAAAAATGTTAGAATTGTGTTGATGTCCCAATATTTGTGGACCTGACTGTATATATATATAATTACTGACATATGTCACATCACTTTACTGAAAACATTGAGGGCCCATTTAGATCTATACAACTTGCAGAACAGTGAGTGGGTAAAATCCCTGTCATTTTGTTTTTATTTCCATGTCCTGGTGGGTAGATTTCCCTTCACTTACTGTCCTGGAGACACAACAGGAAGTGAGGGATCTCTTCAAAGCTGTAAATCCAAAGCTGGCCATTGACTATTAAGCTGGTTATACAATAGTACATTTTTGATCGAACATTCATATGCAAATTCTCTGTAATGTCATTCAAGTTCAAAATATTATTTTGTCTTTCAACATTTCAGTTTGGAACAAATGCACTTTAGTGAACAAAAAAACCACATTCGTGTTTAGGAATTAGCTTGAGAACAATTTTCCATCCCCTTGCTTCAAATATTCTAGTCACTGCAGTTGAAAATGCACACTGATTTGACACCACTAATGATTAGAAAATTGAACAAACATTCTTAAAATGAAACATTTCAAAACTGAAATCTGCAAGTGTATGATCAATTACATTGTTTTGTTGTTCAGCAAACAAATTCATTGATCCACACAGACTCAGTAGATGGAGGAATCCCGCCCAGGGACTTCGTATTCTCACAGCAGGACCTGCCTCTGTCAGCATATGCTGATCAGCAGCTGCAGTTGATGATCTGCAGAAACATTTCCAACATGTCCTTTCAACAGAAGATGATTAAAAGACAAACGTCTGTCGACTGTAGGACACCCACACACTGGTTGCAATGCGCGGTCTCTACATTTTAATCAGTGTAAGGTCAGCTTTACAATGAGAACTTGTGGTGGGAG